AAGCAGTCCTGGGGGTTAGCTCCGACCTTTAAATGGTTTTCCTGTATAGTAAACATTTTCAACCCCTTACCTTTTATTTTATGATTATTGAGTTTATTTGTGACCTGTGTGTGTGAGCATGCACGCCACCGTCAGCGCAGACCTTTGTGGAATCAGCTTTCTCTTTCCACCTTCACATGAGTTCCGAGCACTGGATTCAGGTCCCAAGGCTTGTGTAGCATCGCCAACCACTGAGCCAGCGTGGTTCACACTGTGCACTGTGGTCTCCTAGCTAGAGCTGTAGTCTCAGGTCTTGGTTCACGGCCCTCTTCTTAGATATCAGTAAGTGTTCATGAGCACTGTCCAGGTCCTCTGCTGTTCACATCTTAGGAGGAGCCAATCAAGCTCCTAAATGGAAAATCAAGGTGAACCAGGAACTTGGGAAGGTTGTCTTATCTTTGTCTAGGCAAAGTAAGGCATTCAGTTTTCCAGTGTCCAGTGTCCTGACTGTCCACAGTTTGGACAGAGTCCTGGCAATTGGTGAGGCATTGGGGACAGTTATGCCCAATGGTCAGCATTACCACAATACAGGTGGAGTTGTCAGTGCCCCATTTATCTTCTGTGGAGACCTTGGGGAAGTCATGGTTAGGATTTGGAAGTCTCTATCTGTCAAGGTTAAGTTTAAGCATGGTAAATACCATATTAAGCCGGTCTCTGAAGTCCCCAAGAACCGTCTGTCTATGTAAAGTATAATTGAGTAGTAAAACTTTGCTTGTTTCTAGTTATTCATCCTAAGCTTAACCTTGAAGCCTTATACAAGAGGTTAAATAAGACCATCCCTGTTAGGTTTGAGCCTTAAAACTCACAATTGTTTCAACAAAGCTCTTCTAATATTAAAATAAAAAGTTTAATCGTAGGTGCAGTTTATCCAAACAGCTAAGGCTTATAAGACAGAGAAGTCAGCTTTGGCTCTCAGAGAGGTATTGCATGCATTTGGCAGCCCTTAATTAAGATGGTGGTGAAGTGATGACTTTCCCAAAACAAAGATGGCTGCCAGTTGCGTGGCTGCCTTAATCAAGGTGGCAGTGAAGTTATGACTCCACCTTATTTATCCCATAGTCAAGATGGTGACCAGCCATGTGTCATATATATTGCACCCTCCCATTGCCAGGTGTAGTTAACCAGGTGCAACAGTCAATTTAAAGGACCAAGGCTGTTCTGTCGCTGCCACCATTGCTGCCACCATGTATGGACAGGAAGTCAGGGGGAGGGAGTAAGGATAGGCAGAACCTAGAGCCTTATATGCCCAGCCACTCTTGAAGAGGGTGCGAAAGACTGGTTTCTAAAAATAAAAATAAAAAAATAAAAACCTGGACACACCTGGACACCTGGAGACACACAGACACCTGGAGTCTGTGCAAGGTCTGAGACAAACTCAGTTTGGATAAAACCTAGTGGTGTCTGGCAATAAAGTTTTAGACCCAACAGTGTCCATTTTCCCAGACTTTCCTGGAACCTGAAGGCTCAACTGAGCAGCATTCTGCACATAAGCCTGGGGTCCTACAGTGTGTGTGTGTGTGTGTGTCTGAGCGCACGCGCACGCAAGGGTGAGGAAGCCTCAGGTCAAACATCTTTAAATCTGAAGACTCCCCGTGGAACAAAGACTGTTCTAGAACAGAGAGGCTTGCCCTGGTCAGCTGGTTCTTCCAGATCCTGGGAGGCTGGGGAGGCTGGAGACCTGGAGGGAGCACCCCATACTCCAAGGCTGCTGGGAGGTGGTTGCTCACGGAATCCAGAATTGATCTTATCAGGCGGAGAGAAAGACAAGGGAACAGGTCAGTCCCCCATTCCCAGGTCGGGCTGGGGGCTCAACTTCTCCGCACCAGACGATGTTATTCACTGCCGATAAAATGAGCCAAATTAAACTATCAAGATGGGTTTATTGGGTGCAGCTCTCGGGTGAGTTCACTGGTCCCAAGGAATGAAATCAAGGAAGTCACCATGGGAAGGGAGACAGAGGGATGGAGAAAGAGAGAAAGAGAGTATGTATGCAGAGAGAGAGAAAATACAGAGAGAGGGAGAGTAAAGAGAGAGACCAAAATGTCTGGATTATATAGGGAAGAACTTCTAGGGATGGGAAGTCCAGCCTCTAGGATGGAAAACTCAGCATAGAGGGTGGGGTATGCCAGCTATGCCCTGTAACAGATAGAGTCTGTGGGATGCTGGGAGACCTTGGAGGCCAGGTCTACTTTGGTATATTAACTATGCACCTCAGCTGCTCTTCTCAGGTCTGAAACCCAACATCATCCATGGGTCTGCCACTGCTGAGGGCCATGACCAGGTCCGTGATCCTGCTATAGCTGTGGGCTGTGCTGATGTCAGTGGTCCATGGTCTGTGCTGCTACCTGAAGCTGCATTGATGTCCATGGGCCATGCTGACACCTGCGGCCATGATGATGTCCTTGGCCTGGGCTGCTGGCAGGGCTATGATGGTGTTCATACCCCATGCTGTGGCAGAGGGTCGTGTTGATGTCTGTGGTCTGTACTGCCACTGGAGACTATGTACATGTCTGTGGTCCATGCTGTCGCCAGAAGCCATGTGGAAGTCCACGATTCAGTCTCCCACTGACTGTCAAGGGCAAGGAAGCTACTCTTTCAGTAGTATCAATGGCTGCAGACTCACAGTTAAGACAGTGTGACATAGAAAGATTCTGTGACAACTCCTACCCCCACCCCACCTCACACATCCCAAAAAGTAACAGCCTAGACAGAAAGCCATCGAAAAGAATTCTTAAAAATTACGATGAGGATGCTGAAGTGTAGTTCTCACAATTGATGGCTTTGGCTGGGCTGCAAACAGGGAAGGACACAGTTTTCTTTAAGGAGCTGTGGAGTGTGTCCGTGCTCCAGTGGGTATAAGTTGTTTTCTGTTTTCTTACTTTCTTTCTGCCTGTCCTCCTCCTCTTCCTCTTCCTCCTCCTCCTCCTCCTTCTTCTCTTCTTCCTCTTCCTACTTCTTCTTCTCCTCCTCCTCCTCCTCCTTCTCCTCTTCATCCTCTGCCTCTTTTCTTTCTCCTTCATTTTGCAGGAGGTCAGAAGAGTGAGGGGCAGCCCTGGGAGGACTTGGAAGAAAGCTTGATCACGATTTATGATGTGAAATTCCCAAATCACCAATAAAAATATTTTGTAAACAAACAAACAAAACCATCATACCAAGGCAACTCATAGAAGAGATGACTGATTTGGGGTTTTGTTCCTGAGGCATTAGAGTCGATCATGGTGGGGAATCATGACATCAGGCAGCAGACACAGGACAGGTGAGAGCTCATCTCTTGGAGCACAAGTAGGGAACAAAGAGAGTACTGGGAATGACATGAGACTTTGAAATCTCAAAGTGACATACTTCCTCCAGCAAGGCCATATCCCCTAAACCTACCCAAGGAGCACCATCAACTGGGGATTAAATATTCAATGGCGGATGTGCTGAGCATGGCCCGCTAACCAGACTCTCAGCTGCTGGGCCCATCATTAGAGCATAGAACACTTCTGGTTCTAATATCCAGAGTGTTCTACTCCTTAACCCAAGACCAGATCGTCAATAATCCCCACAACTGGTCTACGAGCTTCCCTCCCTTGCCTCTGCTTGCCCTGCACAGTTCCCGGGCCTCCTCATTTCTACTGAGTGACCCGGCTCTGGCATTAGCTGATGCTTCTTGTGCTGAGTAACCGACAGCAGGAAACACCCACGCTCTAAAGGGAAGCATATGAGTAAGACACTCAGCAGCAACCTGAACAAACAGAACAAGTCAGCTGGGATCTCCAGGGCTTCGGGTTTCCTGCTGAGATTTATATTTGCCGCTGGCTGTACGTCAAGGGGTGCAGAGTGGGAAAGCTGGACCATGTGGCTTTCCTCAGCTCTGCTTCTTCTCAGTTTCCCAGGTATGTTCAGCGAGGGCCTGGGGGCTTGGGACAGCAGGTGCAGAGCAGCAGGCAGAGGGCTCTGTCCTGGGTTTAAGGAGAGCTACCACCTCCGGGGAAATGTGGGGTGGCTCTGTGGCTTCATTCAACAAAAGGACCCCAGGCTCTACACTATGCTGGGCATGGATCAGGACCTGGGGACATGAAGGGGAAGGAGAAATGGAGATGACCATTAAAGGAGATTCCAGATGCTCTGGTGGGTGAGACAGGAGGAGCTGGTACCATTGGGAGAGCTACAGAAAGCCCTCCTGAGCCTGCTCCTTCCATGCTCCAGAAGGAAGCAGGTCTCTACAGCTCTTGCAGCAAGCCGAACACGCACTCCAAGGAGAGGGCATGGCTTGGGGAAAGACTACAGGTTTAGAGCGGCTGGCATGCCCATGCAAAGGGAGCACTCAACGCCCATGCAAAGGGAGCACTCAGTGTCCAGGTCGCTGAGGGGCACTGGCTAAGTGTGAGTTTGCAAATGCAAAAGATAAAACAAGGGACAGTTGTGGGTGTCCGCATCACCGAGCTTGCATCTGAGATCCAGGGCCTCAGCTGCCTGCTGTCTAAACCTCAACACTGGGCTTTCCTAGAGGCCAAGCAGGCGAGGAGTAAGCTATGCCATGGTTTACACATTTGTGCACAGCAACGTTCACTAGTACACTCAGAGGCTGCACATCTACACACTCTGTCCACACCTCCAGGATCACCCACTCGCACACATTCACACTCTTTTTGCTTGGTGGGTTGGTTGGTTTGGGTTGGGGGTCTTTGTTTGCTGTTGTTTGGTTTGGTTTTTTTGTTGTTGTTGTTTGTGTGGGGAGAGTTTTAGGGGGGTTGGTTTTTGGTTTTTTAGTTTTGGGGGGTGTTTTTGTTTTGTTTTTTTAGCTTTTTAATGATGGGGGGAAAACACACCTAAAAGCAAAGCTTCTGGAAAAACTTGTTTTTCCCTGTCTTTCATTGATCCTCAAATCTGACCTTGGCCTCCTCCGGCCTTGTGTTTCAGAGCTGAGCCTCAAAAGGCATCCTTGTTGGCAACAGTGTCCTCTGAGAGGATATCCACAGAGTCCCTTGTGGGTATGGGAAAGCTATAAGCTTTCACAAAGGACTTGATCTTGGAACTCTTGGTGATCTTCTTGCCCATGGCAGCTGTCACTTTTAGCGGTCAATTCTAGCCACCAGGGCATGGCTATTAGGACCGTCTGATGTATGTACATCATGAATGTCCTTCATGAGGACGGCTTTGCGTCCTGAGTAGTGTCTAGCCAGGATCGGCATCACTTTCCCTGGTTTCATGAATTTTCCCATTTCGACAGCAAGCAGCCAATGCCCAGCAGAAAGACATGTTCACACTCTTAAGATGCCATATACTGAGACTGTTCACAAAAGGGATTTTAACTTTCACTTTATTATATGTATGGGTGTTCTGTCTGCATGTATGTAAGTGTACATACCATGTGTGTGTGTGGTACCTACAGAATCTAGAAAGAGGTTACTGGATCCCCTGGAACTGGAGTTATGGATGGTTGCAAATTGCCATGTTGGAGCTGGGAATTGAACCTGGGTCCTCTGGTAGAGCAAGCAGCCAGTGCTCTTAACCTAACCATCTCTCCAGCCACTCACCCTCCTTTTTTGAGACAGGGTCTTATTGTATAGTCCTGACTAGCCTGGAGCTCACTCTGTAGACCAGGGTGGCTTCAAACCCCTAGCGATCCTCCTGCCTCTGCCTCTCTAATTCTGGGATTAAGGCATTTGCCGCTCTACCCACTTTGTTAGGTAAATGTTTAAAAATAATTTAATAATAACATGCTTTGGACATCTTTCCTGTCATTGTTTGGACATTGCTCTTTACTTTTTGTGCTACGGCTATATTGGAACTTCCCAGTCTAATTCCCTATTAACGACCTCGGAGTTTTCCAGGTGTTTACTGTTACATCCATACCAAGGCTAATGCCCCACACTCCACTCTCTACATCAATCCTAGAACTGGAGAGAGAGAGAGAGAGAGAGAGAGAGAGAGAGAGAGAGAGAGAGAATGCATGTGTGCACACAATGCATAGATTCTTCACAAAATAATCAACAACTTTAGGGGTCTCTACCATGAACTAGAAACTGAGCAAGACCCTGGGGCTGGGAATGGAGGGATAGAGAAAAATAAACACAGAACCCCTGTGCTTTGGGAGTGAGAAACGTATTGAGGGTTAGGAAAAGGGATAGGCACCTGAAGTCAAGTACTCCGGCTCCAGATGAGAGGCCAAGAGGCCAACAGTAGGAGGCAGCTCCAAGAAGGGGATAAAGCACCGAGTAGAAGCCTGGCCTGGAGGAGGTGGGGAGGGTGGTCGGGATGAGGGCTCTCCAGGCAGGACTAAGTCCACTGCCTTAAGAGCAAGGTCTGACACTAATGAGAAACCAAAACCAGTTTGCAGTGAGGTATGCATGACAAAGATTTTAAGTCACTTTAGGCAGGGGAGTAGTGGACATTCTGGTACAGCCGAGGAGCAGGCTCAGTCCGGTCCCAGCAGCTATCTGAATGCATTGAGCTTTCCTGAATGTTCCTGCCACAATCCAGGTACCAGATGAAGACCATGTCTGGCCAAACAGCCCCCAGTGTCCAGCATTAGATGCTTACATGCGGTTTTAACAGCCAGTATATGACTGTAGCGTGCCAGCTGTACAAAGAGGGAAGTGGGGCTCAGAGAAGTTAAGTAACCCTACCCAGGGTTTCTCAACAATGCTATGGTAGCTGCATCTATCTGCCAGCAAAGTCCACACTCTGCTCCATCGTGATGTTCCTTGCACTGTGGCAGCAGAGATGTAAAGATGGTTCAGACTGGCATCTCCAGGGTGGAGTTGGCTGAACTAATCACTGCGCACTTGCCAAAGGGAAGTGAGGAGAGACCAGCATAGATGTTAAATCTCTAGTTAGGCTCCTGAGCCGAGTGTGCTTGGCGCTTTTAAGGTTGTATCTCCTGCGGCTGCTATAACAAGTGACTAAACACTCAGTGCCTCGGAACAACACAACTTTATCTTACTGTTCCAAGATCAGGAGTCCAGAATAGTCTCACTGGCCAAGGCTGAGTTCCTTCTGGAGCTCTGAAGAAACATCCATTTCCTGGATTCATCCAAAGCCCCTACAGGTCTGTTGTCCCATGGCCTCTCCTCCTTTTCAAGGCCAACAGCAGAATGCCTTCAAACCTAAGCCAATTTCAACATCAGGATGGGTAGAATAATCCAGACAATCTTATCTCAGTATCCCTCATCACACTGACAAATGCCTTTATTCTTTTTCTTTTAAAAACTATAAACAGGGATGTGCGCATCGAAGGAAGGGTCTTTTCTGCTATTTTCTTTGGTGTGTAGGTGCTACAGAGCTTGTGTGAAGGTCAGAGGACAGCTTCCTGGGGTCAGTTTTCTCCACCCACACACGTGCATTGCTGGGATTGAACTCATGTTTGCAAGGGTGTGCTTTTACTCCTGTATCCATCTGTCCCCCCTCTTTCTGTACATGGCCACACAGTAACAGGTTGGGTGATAGGTATCAACAGCAGGCACTCGGAGGCAGAGACAAGAAGATTTCTGTGAATTGGAGGCCAGCCTGGTCTATGTAGTGAGTCCCAGGCTAGCCAGAACTACATAGTGAGACCTTGTCTAAGGAAGGAAGGAAGGAAGGAAGGAAGGGAGGGAGGGAGGGAGGGAGGGAGGGAGGGAGGGAGGGAGGGAGG